TCACTCTGATAACGCAGAGAGCTCTGACGAAAATGAAAGCGATGGAGAAATAGGAGATCGAGAAAATTTAGTACCAATAGAGCAGAGTGAGGTAGATAAGAATGAAATTGACCAATTTCAAAAGTTTAATTCTAAAACATGCGGTTGTTCTCGACTCTACGGAAAACCATGTAGTGAGGTCGTCGATTTAGAATCTTTGCTTGAATACAGAAACACGTGCCTGGAAATGAACAAGGAGGAACTTGATATGATGATCAAAGTGCAATTATTTCACCATCGGCGAAATGACAAAGTTACTAGTGCAAAGAAACATAGATCAAAAGAAAGGGAGAGAATTAGACAAGAATATTTTTTTAATGGACATCAAGTGTGTAGAGAAACATTTGCGTTTTGCCATGGAGTTTATAGGAAGGCGGTGGACGCGCTTGCTCGTTCCCTTGATAAGGATGGACTCGCTCCTAGAATTCATGGAAACATTGGTAAACATCCAAAGCATGCCCTCACTGTAAATGATGTTCAATCTGTAAAAGATTTTCTAACATCTTATGGAAACAAGTTTGGTTTACCATTACCAGGAAGACTGCCAAACTACAGAGATTGTAGAGCTATAGTGTTGCCCTCTGATAAGACCAAGGCTGATATACATCAGGACTATTTGTTAGTTGCAGAGAGTCTACATTTGAGAAAGATATGTTTGTCAGAATTTAAAAGAGTTTGGCTGAATACATGTCCACATGTTCTAATTAGCAAGCCTTCAACAGACCTATGCTATAAATGCCAATCCTATGCGAATATCCTGGTTCATGGTGGCAATATGACAGAAGAGGAAAAGGAGCAACATCTTGAGAAATACACAGCTCATGTTGAAAAATCAAAGATGCAGAGGGATTATTACAGAAGGCAATGTGAAGTTTCTAAAACTAGCTTTTCTGCTCTTCCAAATGAGAGAAAAACCAGAGGTAACAATTTATTATATGATTCAAGTAATATTGTTTGAAATTACAGTACAGGCAACGCGGATCCCGTATTTCCCGCGTCCCCGCCGCGGTATAATCACAACGCGGTATTTGGCCAGGTAGACAGTTAAACCGCGTTCCCTCCGCGGGAAATTCTTCACTTACCTGTCCCCGCCGCGGTTAAATCCTCGATCAATTACTGACAATTGGTATCGTAAACAAACGGGAGTTATCTCCCCGAATTGTAATTTGCGAATTTTCCCTGTAAAAAAAAAAAAAAAAAAAAAAAACAAAAAAAACCAAAAAAAAAACCGTGTGTTTATTAATAAATTTTGCTATGAATAGAATTTAAACTAAGAAAAAATAAGTTTATTTTTGTTTCTAAAATTACATATCAATCTTTGAAATTGAATAGAAAATTTTATTAAATTGTTACGTCTTTACAATTATTTTGTGTTATTAAGAATCTATCAAGAAACAAAGTTAAATACTAGAAATTTTAATTAGTTTTTTTTAATCTTCATATTATATGCAAACTGTAATAAATGTTGAACTCAGACTGTTTAAGTTTCGATGAACGATTTTCAGCATTCATTTGAAAAAAAAAAGATGTACATCTTTTAAAAAATGTTCATCTTCATATTATTTATTAATTAATTTTCGATTTATTGTATATAAAATGTACAGGTTTTTTCTTAAAGTGTCAAATTACCGGAAAACATCCGATGACGAGCATTAATTGCAGTTACATGTAGTGGGCACGTGAACTTAAATTTTCTTTATCCAAGATATCAAGAAAAAGTTCTATTCTTCTTTATTTCTCATCGTTTATGTTCTGTTCCCAAATTAAGTTAATTTAATTAATTAATTTTTTTTTAATGTATTTCCCTCTTTTATATAAATGTGCAGGCATTTTTCTCAAATTGTCAAATGACCGGAAAGCATTCGATGACGAGAGTTAACTTTGAGCACGCGAACTTTATACAAGAGATCAAGAAAAAATATCGTTTTTCACCTTCACATTAACATGTTTTACTTTTTAATACAGTGTCTTTCTTTTTAATTTTAATATTTCTCGATTATGTGTTCAATATATAAGGTAGGATGTGCAGGTGTAATGATAAACTTCACAGACGAAATTATATAGTTTATATTAAAATATTCAATGCAAAAATTCATATATTTTTGTTTTCTTTGACAAATTCTGTTTCTTTGTGTATTAAGTATTAGCCGCGATCATTTCCTGTGTATAGGGATTAGCAGTGCCTGAGCTGGAAACGACAGGGGGTTTCACACCTGTCTTATAGTATACCTTGGGTAAAGCTCGCTGGAAGCACATCGTTGTCTAGCCATTCAACAACACATTTGATTCATTGTTTCATTATTATTTCATCGAGAGAGAGAGAGAAGAAAAATATCACAATATTAAAGCACGTGCATGATCGTTTTTCCTCCTTTATGATCAGTTTATCAATTTCTTAAGTCTAGCGAATATAACTACCGCTGATTTATCAGTTTATCGACCATTTGTCGAATTTGTCTAAGTTTTATTGTTTTTTATCGAGAGACTTGTCTTTATGATCCACTTTCTTCTTTAGTTGAGCATATGTACATGACATGCAATTTGAATTACTTCCCTTTCTGTCGCCAGATTACAACGACATATTTTGGTGGTAAAATAACATGTATTTTGGTTATAAAATTTGATTAAGAAAAACACAGTATATATTAAAATTGTTGAATTATTTAAAATATTTATTTTAAACAAAAAATTAAAAAGGATTCTGTCTGCAACAAAAACATTCTTTATTTCATGCATTTAAATTCATGAGCTACACATGGAAAAAAAAAACGGCTTCGTTTTACAATGTCGTAGGAAAACGCATACAGGTAATACACTCAGGTAACATCCTGTGTATAAAGGTAGTATGTACACTAGACAGCGTCTAGTGTCACAGCGTCGTTCCCTCGGGGCTTCTCATCCGCTTTGAGTAAGCTCCACTCCACACCAAGCTTACCTGAGGAAAACCGAACGGTTACACAGACATCTTGAAACTTGAAGCATGGCAACTTGCTGATTAAAATAAGTTAATTTCTGTGTTGTGTGTTCAAATATTTTAAGGGCCCATATTTGTGTTTGTGTTTTATTTGAACCGAAGAAATCTGAAATTTGTTTATGTTCATAAACATGATTTTAGTAATTTTCGAAAAGAGCAGAAAATAGAAATACATTCAAATACTAGCCATGATAATATTGATATTCTGAATAGAAATACCTGTGATTATTTTATTAACAAGCCCCCCCCCCCCCCCTAAAAAAAATCGTCGATATTTAGTTTATAGTCTTACAGTGTAGCGCATAATAATGGAGCAACGATATTCCTACACTTAGGCGTGTTTTGGTAAAATTTAATTGTAATTATGTATCACTATCTATCATCGTTTTTCATGCTATTATTTATAACAGACATGTATACAGAAGTAACGGTACTTTTCTAAATGAAACCAAATGACTGATATAATCTCGCAGATAAATAAACACATAGCTACACGTAACTGCAACTGCACGGGCTAATTGTGAACAACGGATTACAATTGCACTTGCATATATAGAGAAGCGACATCATGGCATTCTTTAAATTTTAATTATACCTTTTTAGCAATTTGAAGATCATTTGGGGTGGCATTATTGATTTTGAAAATAAACTTTAAGTTAATATATTCGATAAATTATTCGACTTTATTTCATCCTATACTGTACATGTATAACTGTTAACAGACGTTTTTGAGAATTAATTAATTTTGAGTGACCATCGGTAAAAACAAAAAACAAAAAAGAAACTTTAAGATGTTTTTTATTTAACAATTTGATAAAACTTATAGAATCTTGATAGAATCCATGTTATGGTATAAATCTATTAATATTAATGTGGTCGTAACCCCCCCCCCCCCCCCCTCATTTCGACACGATTAAAAATCGACAATACTTTACAGGTAAGAACATCTAAGCTGAAGAATAACGGTAGCGGGCCCCGCCGCGGTGTAAACACGGTCTCAGGTAGCACCGCGATCAAAACCCACGACGGTGTAACGCGGAAAGGATTAATACACCGCGGAGGGGACGCGGTCTAATACGGGATCCGCGTTGCCTGTACTGTAGTTAATCATTTATGCATTAGTTCTGTTAAATTAGTGATTTTTCTTAATCAATTGGCTATTGATATTTTCCCTAGGTCAGCCCATCTGTTCTTTGGAGGGAACTCAACATTACAGTTTTGATTATGCCCAGCAAATACATTATCCACATTATGCGCAACAGGTTGGTCCTTTGTTCTTCAAAACCCCACGGAAATGCCAGTGTTTTGGAATCTGTTCAGAGGGTTCAGGTAATTTTTAGAACGTCAAACACAAGACTACAATAGTCTAATTGATTTTTTAGCATTACTCTTTTAGTTCAATGATAGAAAATAAAATTTATAGATTCATGTACAAGTTTACTACTACTAGTCTAACAAATTTAATTTATAAAACAGACTAGGCAGTGCATTTAATTGGCTAATACATGCAACCTGTAAATTTAGAATTACATTTTTAGAAATGCACCCTTTCATAAAAAAAAAATTGAAGTAAAAGAATAATTAACTTTTTCAGTGCAAACATTTTTTTGTGAACTTTTATCCAGGATCACAGATATTTTACTTGATTGATGAGTCTCAGCATTCTGGAAAGGGGGCAAACTCTGTTGCCAGTATGATTCACCACCATTTTCAACATAAAGGTTATGGAGAAATGAATTTACAACTCCATATGGACAACTGCACTGGTCAAAATAAAAACAACACTGTTATTGGGTATCTATTTCCAATCCAACTGTCTATATTTTAACTACCATTTGTGCGGGTGTATTTTTGCAAAATTAATACAATAGGTGTCTTCATGTCAAATACATCCATGTTTACATGTGGTACATGTAATGAAATACACTGGCAAAATTATTTTCAATTCATTTGCTCTCTTTGATTAGTTTAGTTTCATAATGAAGTTCTTTTAGAAGTGCATTTAGAGAGCTTGTCTCTTTTGAATTTTATTTTAAAAGAATGTCTTGTAGATATGGGATGTGGCGAGTTATGACCGGCAGACATATGACCATTGAGTTTTCTCTGATGGAGGCAGGCCACACAAAGTTTCATCCCGACTGGCATTTTGGGCTCTGGAAGGTGAAATGGCGAGGAACAACTGCAGAGAATCTTGAGGAAGTGGCCAAATCCGTTGCTCATTCATCTAGGAATAACCATAATATTCCCCAGCTTGTAGAGGATCCCCAGTATCCAGTCATTTTCTATGACTGGAGCACGTTTCTCAAGAAGTACTTCAAGCCAATACCTCAACTCAAGCAGTATCATCATTTTCGGTATGCATTATATTGCCTGTGTTTTTTAGCAATTAATTTATTGGAGGTTGAGTTATCACAGAACAACAAATGCACAGAGAGGCATAGATAAGATCTTCAAGTATACTGTAGACATACTTTTTTCCACGCTGTCATAATTCTGTGGACTCTTGATTTTTGTTTAAATCTGCAGGTAGAAAATCTTGTGGATTTCTTAACTGTCCCTATATATACCTTACATGTTTATTAAGTATGCTTGGACAAATTTCCGTGAAAAATTTGTGACCGCGTACATACCGTAAATTAATACCATACGAAAAAAGTACTTCTATGGTATTATATTTTTTTTCATTTTATTTAATTTGGTCTGAATTTCATGACTTTAGTAAAACCAGCGATTTTCAGACCAAATCATCAAAATTAATTTAGTATTTTTCTTTATACATGTACATGATCATCTTATTAAATATATATATTTGGTGTTTGTCATATATTCTTTTATTTTCTTATGCTTGTATAATTTATCCCTCAATTAAAAATCTTTATGTTGTCAAATTAAAAAAATTACATGAACATGTATACAAAAAAAAAAAAAATCCCCAAAAGCAAACACCAAATACATCAGATTTAAGCCCATGTTGACAAATGCAAATTTTAAGTATAAGCATGATAAGGTTATGAAGAATTCTGTTAGCATTGAATTTTGAAAATTTTTGTATACATGTATGCTGCTAAAAACAGAACTGAAAAGAAATTCTTAACTAATTCTAACTGCCATGACTGTGCTCCTTCAATATCTTTTGCAATAAGCTGTAGATAAATATATTAAAAAAACAATATATGTTGGAAGATCTAACATCTTTGACTTTTGCAGCATGACACATGAACATCCTGGAGTAGTCCATCTACGAAAGTATGCTGGAGATGAAGAAATTACTGTCAACATCCTGAAACACAAAGATTTCAGGTTTCCAAACATGGATGCCTCTCTTCCAACTGTTATTAAAGCATGTGGCCTTGACGCACAGCGACAGTGGTATTTATACGACGAGGTGGCCCCATACTGTGCCAGTCATGAGGCATGTCCCCGCCCAAGTGTACCAAAACCATCAGCCATAAAAGTTGAACAGAAAGTGAAATTAGGAAAGAGAAAATGTGCAAATTAACATTGTAACAAATCAATGTAATTTACATGCTGTCATGGATGTTAAGAGTTTGATTTTATCTAGTTCTTAAAACTGTTATATTCTGTTGTATTAATTTGATCAAACAATATGTGTTTCAGAATGAAATGACATCTATTTCAAATTGTGTTACTTCATTGCTTTTATGTAACTTTAAAGTTGCAGAAATCACCAATATCAGATAAAGCAAGATGTGTTCATGAAACACTATGTACCCAGTGGTCCCTAAGTTTGAAAAACTATTTTAGTATATAGGTCACAGTCAAGGTCACAAGGTCATTAACCTTGGTGTCATTTGAAAAATCTTAATTTAGTGGAGTACGCATAGAAAATATGAAGTTTCTATCTCGTATTGTTAAAGATGTATTGCAAAGGTTCAAAAAGACTATTTTTAGCAAATACAAGTAGGTCACAGTCAAGGTCACAAGGTCATTGACCTTGGTGTCATTTGAAAGAGCTTGGTTACTGGAATATGCATACCAAATACGAGGTTTCTATCTCTCATGGTTCAAAAGTTATGGCAAAGGTTAACATTTAAAGATAGACAGGACAAAAACAGTATGCGCCCCTGATCTACCGATCCGGGCGCATAACAACCAATTAGTAAAGTCCAATTTTCTTGACAATGAATAGGAATATCAAAGAAAAAACAACAGATAGTTGTTACTGGGGGTCATCTCTACTAGATAGTATAAAAATCTCATTTTCTCTCAGGTACCTCATTTGGGCCAAAATTCTCATGGCTTGTCACATATTATGAATGTAATGTACACATGTTTGTAAGAGATGCATGTTCTGTACGTAGGTTATATATGTAAAGAATGGACCTATGTTATGAATGTAATGAAGGTATGTTTGTAAGAGATGCATGTTCTGTATGTATGTAATGTATGTAAAGAATGGACCTGTGTTATGAATGTAATGTATGCATGTTTGTAAGAGATGCATGTTCTGTATGTATGTAATGTATGTAAAGAATGGACATATGTTATGAATGTAATGTACATATGTTTGTAAGAGATGCATGTTCTGTGTGTATGTAATGTATGTAAAGAATATACCTATTTTATGAATGTAATGTACATATGTTTGCAAGACATGCATGTTCTGTATGTATGTTATGTATGTAAAGAATGGATGTATGTTATATATGTATGCATGCATAAATGTATAAAGTGAAATGTTCCTAATGTGGTGAATATGATGTAAAGAATATCATGTACATAATGCATGAATGTATGCATGTATGTAAAGAATGGACCTATGTTATAAATGTAAAGTACACATGTTTGTAAGAGATGCATGTTCTGTATGTATGTAATGTTTGTAAAGAATGGACCTATGTTATGAATGAATTGTATGCATGTTTGTAAGAGATGCATGTTCTGTATGGATGTAATGTATGTAAAGAAGGGACCTATCCTATGAATGTAATGTACGTATGTTTGTAAGAGATGCATGTTCTGTATGTATGTAAAGAATGGACTTGTTATGAATATAATGTACATATGTTTGTGAGATGCATGTTCTCTATGTATGTTATGATTGTAAAGAATGGATTTATGTTATGAATGTAATGTATGTATGAATTGTAGGGAAGGGAGTGAGAGGGAGAGGGGGAGAGGGGAAGATGGACCCAGTGAAAGGGGCTGTGGGGAATTAAGAGATTATCAATGTATATACCTATGTCTGGCAGTCTGTCTATGTGATTGTCTCATTGTCTGTTTGTTTGTCTCCCTGTCCGATTGTTTGTCTCTTTGTCTGTCTGTGTGAATGTGTCATTGTCTGACTGTTTGTCTCTTTGACTGTCTGTTTTTCTGATAGTCTCCCTGTCCGATTGTTGGTCTCTTTGTCTGTCTGTCTTTCTGTGTGATTGTGTCATTGTGTGATAGTATGCTCTTTGTTTGTCTGTCTGTATCTTTGTCTAATTGTCTCATTGTCTGATTGTTGTTTGTCTCTTTGTCTGTCTGTTTCTCTGAGTGTTTCATTGTCTGATTGTTTGTCTCTTTGTCTGATTCTTGCAGTGTCATCTAAATGCATGTTTGTTGCTGTGTCTGTATCTATAAATGTTTGTATGGATGTATGTATCGTTACATGTCTGTCTGTCTGTTAGTCTGTCTCTATGTAAGTATGTATTGTAGATATATATGAATGTATATCTGTTGGTATCTATGGATGGATAGATGTTTGTCAGTTTTTTCTGTCTAATTGTCTGTCAATCTGTCTGTCTGTTTGTATGTATGTGAAGAGACGGGGGAAAAAAGCAGTACAGGAGAAATGAAACCAAGAAGTGCCCAAGGATACTAAGTCTAAATAGCGGTGTGTGCGTATAATGAATTATTTAGACAAGGCATCCATAAGATAAAGAGGAGAAAAGTAAGAAAAATATGAGAGAAATCTCAAAACAACGAAGAAATAGATGATAGAAAGGAGGGAGATAGATGAGAGAAAAGAGAAACAAGTTAAAGATCAAGTAACAAGTATATGTATGTAAGAGATGCATGCAATGTATGTATGTAATGAAGGTAAAGAATGTATGTAACTTGTGATTGTAATATAAATATGTTTGTGAGAGATGCATGTTGTGTACTTATGTAATGTATGTAATCTATCTATGCATTGTAGGGAAGGGAGTTGGAGAGAAAAAGGAGAAAGAGCAGAAAAAAACCAGTGAAAGGTGCTTTAGGGAATGAAGAAAATGACCAAGAGAATGTATCAATGTAAGTACCAATGTCTGTCTGTCAGTGTGTTTGTCTGGTTGTCTGATCGTCTCCCTGTCTGATTGTTTGTCTCTTTGTCTTTCTGTCTGTCTGATTGTCGCCCTGTCTGATTGTTTGACTCTTTGTCTGTCTGTCTGTTTGTCTGTCTGTGTGATTGTCTCATTGTCTGTCTGTTTGTCTCCCTGTCTGACTGTTTGAATCTTTGTCTGTCTGTGTGAATGTGTCATTGTCTGACTGTTTGTCTCTTTGACTGTCTGTTTTTCTGATAGTTTCCCTGTCCGATTGTTTGTTTCTTTGTCTGTCTGTCTTTCTGTGTGATTGTGTCATTGTGTGATAGCGTGTCTCTTTGTTTGTCTGTCTGTCTGTTTGTCTGATTGTCTCATTGTCTGATTGTTGTTTGTCTCTTTGTCTGTCTGTTTCTCTGAGTGTCTCAGCCTGATTGTTTGCCTCTTTGTCTGTCTGTTTGTCTGATCCTTGCAGTGTCATCTTAATGCATGTTTGTTGCTGTGTCTGTATCTATAAATGTTTGTATGGATGTATGTATCATTATATGTCTGTCTGTCTGTTAGTCTGTCTCTACGTAAGAATGTATTGTAGATATATATGAATGTACCTATATTTTGAATGGACCTATATTATGAATGTAATGTACACATGTTTGTAATAGATGCATGTTCTGTACGTATGTTATATATGTAAAGAATGGACCTATGTTATGAATGTAATGAAGGTATGTTTGTAAGAGATGCATGTTCTGTATGTATGTAATGTATGTAAAGAATGGACCTGTGTTATGAATGTAATGTATGCATGTTTGTAAGAGATGCACGTTCTGTATGTATGTAATGTATGTAAAGAATGGACATATGTTATGAATGTAATGTACATATGTTTGTAAGAGATGCATGTTCTGTATGTATGTAATGTATGTAAAGAATATACCTATTTTATGAATGTAATGTACATATGTTTGTAAGACATGCATGTTCTGTATGTATGTTATGTATGTAAAGAATGGATGTATGTTATATATGTATGCATGCATAAATGTATAAAGTGAAATGTTCCTAATGTGGTGAATATGATGTAAAGAATATCATGTACATAATGCATGAATGTATGCATGTATGTAAAGAATGGACCTATGTTATAAATGTAAAGTACACATGTTTGTAAGAGATGCATGTTCTGTATGTATGTAATGTTTGTACAGAATGGACCTATGTTATGAATGAATTGTATGCATGTTTGTAAGAGATGCATGTTCTGTATGGATGTAATGTATGTAAAGAAGGGACCTATCCTATGAATGTAATGTACGTATGTTTGTAAGAGATGCATGTTCTGTATGTATGTAAAGAATGGACTTGTTATGAATGTAATGTACATATGTTTGTGAGATGCATGTTCTCTATGTATGTTATGATTGTAAAGAATGGATTTATGTTATGAATGTAATGTATGTATGAATTGTAGGGAAGGGAGTGAGAGGGAGAGGGGGAGAGGGGAAGATGGACCCAGTGAAAGGGGCTGTGGGGAATTAAGAGAATGACCAAGAGAATGTATCAATGTATATACCTATGTCTGGCAGTCTGTCTGTGTGATTGTCTCATTGTCTGTCTGTTTGTCTCCCTGTCCGATTGTTTGTCTCTTTGTCTGTCTGTGTGAATGTGTCATTGTCTGACTGTTTGTCTCTTTGACTGTCTGTTTTTCTGATAGTCTCCCTGTCCGATTGTTGGTCTCTTTGTCTGTCTGTCTTTCTGTGTGATTGTGTCATTGTGTGATAGTATGCTCTTTGTTTGTCTGTCTGTATCTTTGTCTAATTGTCTCATTGTCTGATTGTTGTTTGTCTCTTTGTCTGTCTGTTTCTCTGAGTGTCTCAGTCTGATTGTTTGTCTCTTTGTCTGATTCTTGCAGTGTCATCTAAATGCATGTTTGTTGCTGTGTCTGTATCTATAAATGTTTGTATGTATCGTTACATGTCTGTCTGTCTGTTAGTCTGTCTCTATGTAAGTATGTATTGTAGATATATATGAATGTATATCTGTTGGTATCTATGGATGGATAGATGTTTGTCAGTTTTTCTGTCTAATTGTCTGTCAATCTGTCTGTCTGTTTGTATGTATGTGAAGAGACGGGGGAAAAAAGCAGTACAGGAGAAATGAAACCAAGAAGTGCCCAAGGATACTAAGTCTAAATAGCGGTGTGTGCATATAATGAATTATTTAGACAAGGCATCCATAAGATAAAGAGGAGAAAAGTAAGAAAAATATGAGAGAAATCTCAAAACAACGAAGAAATAGATGATAGAAAGGAGGGAGATAGATGAGAGAAAAGAGAAACCAGTTAAAGATCAAGTAACAAGTATATGTATGTAAGAGATGCATGCAATGTATGTA